GCGAGAAGCGTCGGCTGTCTGCGCACTGTTCTGAGGATTGCGGTAGATGTTCTGAATCAAGATGGTCTGTGGAGAAAACAAGAAAAAGTGCATCTGGTGAGCCAGGAGTGTCAGGTTTTCAACCTTATCTGGTAACAAAGACTTCAGTTTGAGCCTGTCAGTAATATCATGCTTTAGCACATTTAAAAGAAAAAGAAATGTGATAAGTGTGACATATTAGGGTCAATGTAAAACTACACTGGAATGTAGGCTGGCCGTGTGTTTGCGGCAAGTTTGCCATGTCTTCCCCACTCTCTACATTTTAGCCCACACTCACAGTAACCTCAGTTAACCTACCTCACGCAACTTCACATACTTCACATAACATAAAGCACCAACTTTTTCCCAATTTTCAAAACACAGGTTACTGAATACCACACACACAAAAAAAAAAACCCACACTGAAAATGATCAACAAGAAGTCAGTGACACATTAAGGCAGGGGTGTCAAACTCAAATACACAGTGGGCCAAAATTCAAAACTGGAACAAAGTCGCGGGCTAACGTTAATATTTATTGAAATATATTTATTGAAATATATTTATTCCTCCAGATATAAGAATGAATCTTTTCTTATGGACTCAAACACGTTTTGCTGAAAAACTGAATATGGAACAAGCAAAGCTTAATACTAAACAATATATATATTAGCTGTATAATACCAGTAGGCCAGCTCTGATAGTAATTTGGTATGGCTTCGCGGGCCAAATGTAAGTAGGCTGCGGGCCAGAGTTTGACACCTATGCATTAAGGCAAAGACAAACAAAGCACATGAGTTTGGAACAACATGAACAGGACAATGACCAGAACACTTTTCTCACATTTACACCCACCCACAGAATGAAAATCACTAGAACCAGGACAAGTTCTCATGTAAAAGAGATCAAATATACTCACGCATGGGATACATTTAACAGGAAAATTCACAGACACTTTTTAGGGTAACAGACTCATTGCTTTATGCATGCAGACCAATTGTGCTTATGAGCGTAGCCACTTCTAAAGGCTCATTTTGAGCCAAGAAAAACCCTCACTTTTTACACACACACCATGCAAACCTAACATAACTTTAAAACCACAAAGACTTTGAGCGCATATGAGCAATTTTATGCTCTTGTGTCTAAATCCTTCAGGGCCACGGCATGCAACTCATTAAGTCAAGAGGGCAAACTAAGGCTACGTTCACACTGCAGGTCTTAATGTTCAATTCCGATTTTTTTTGTCTGCTATTCACACTACAAATAAAATGTGACAGCAAACGCGCTCTAGTGTGAACACTCAAAGCAGCCTACATGCGCAAAAGAAGACGTCACACACAACACGCTCTGTTTAGACCCAGACCAAACAGTGTTGTTCGACTGATGGCCCTTAATATAAACACTTGTTTCAGACTTTACGTTTCCCAGTTTTGCTTTAAGTTATAAAGTTATTTTGTTATTTACATATGGCCTAATAATTATCCTTATTGCTGTTTTAGTGAGGAGCGGTGCTTCAAAGTATAGTTGTTTGTCAGAATCTGCAGATTATACAGTACAAATAAAATGTTCACGTTTCTCCAACGTTGTCTTCCCAGCAGTTTCACTGGATGGCCAGGAAGCGTTCACGATGTCTTCTTGGGCACTGATAATTGGTGTCTTGTGTCAGTGACGTAAAAGACAGATTTAATGCGACATGACCATTCAAAAAGCAGTCGCTTTCTAAAACATCAGATATGTATCGGATTCAGTACCACATACGAAAGTGACACAGATCGGATTTGAAAATATCGGATTTGTGCTGTTAACACTGTCACACCATGATCGGATATGGGTCGCATAGGGTCAAAAAAGTCAGATTTGATGCGCTTTCGCCTGCAGTGTGAACATAGCCTAAGTGGGTCAGGAGGTACACTGGGTTATCAGTGTACTGCAGGGCTGAGGGTTCGTGGTCGACCTCATGCAATAAAGTCATCAATTTAAAAAGGTACTTTGCTGGGATACCCACCTGGCTGAAGGTTGGTTTGTTGTGCAATCTCGAACAGCGGTCTCCATGTCTGCAAGCTCCAATTTTAAAGTAGAAGGAACAATTGACCCTGAAAAAAGAAGAAAAATCATTATCACACATATTTAGAATCTGACCTTGGGTGTTGCTAAGGTGTACGAATGTTGACATTAACAGAACTAATGAAAAAGCAGAATGCAACTACCCTGTTTGTTCTGAACCATCAGTGATGGGTCTTAAACCGTTTATAGACAAAACCTAATACGGAGCGTAGAGATATAACCTTTATAAGCAATAGACAATAACTGTTTTATTACAGATGCAACATACAATAACAGTACCTGCACTACAGTAACACAACCACACCCATAACACTGCACAGAAAGAGCACAATGCTGCACACTCCGACTGGTAAGATAACGAATGAAATGACTGTGATAAATACAAAGGTTTGGTTGAAGGTTTGTTAACATCTGAGGCTGGTTTTAAAGACCATAAAGCCAACAAAGTTAGAAAATGAGACTAACTACGCTTCACAACCCGATAACTTGTTGTAGATGCTCTAGTCCTGCAGGTGCTGTCGCTGCCAGACCAGGCCTGACGTCTGGCTAAGTCCACAAAACACAGACGCTTCCTTGCAAAACAGAAAGACCAGATTTACATGGCCTGTCTAAAATGGGAGGGAGGGGTGCATTACAGAATGAAATCCAAAAGTATCAGGGCCATGACCGTCAGGTCCTTGGGAGTCATAGTTATACAAGAAGTTGGAACTTCATCCACTCCCAGAGGAAGTCAGGGCAAAACCCAGTCAGGAAACGAAAGTCTGTGTCTGCTTCATTTAGGACATGTGAAATGTCAGAGTAGTGCAGACACCAGGTGCAGAGGTGTTATGCGTTTTACATTTAATACATACTCGAAAAGATGTGGGAAGAAAAAAAAAGGTACCAAAAAAACTTCCAAAACATATATTTTGCATTTCTTTTAACTATTAAAAGCATTTTAATCAACTCATAGCTCTCTGTGAAATTGGTTGATGGTATACAAATGATAATCTTAATATAATGATGCAATATGGACTAAACTTACTATATAAACTGCTTAACCAGGTTATCAACAACTATACTGAATTTGGGAATTATACTTTATGACCTATAAATCTTTTGAAATTATATATATATTATGTGTAGCAGCTTATGTCAAAACCAGCATCTACAATATGTGTACATTGTTGTTTGTAAATACAGTTTTCTAAACAATTTTCAGTTGTTGTTTTTTAATTATTTGGGACAAGTCACGCATTCCTGTAAATAAGAGATCATCAAACAGCAACACTAATAGTACCTGTAACGGATTACTTTGTCTTATACAATGAATGTGTAAGAAGAACAATAAATACATGTTACTCATTTGTTTGGTGTATAGGAACAACTTTTTTTCACCATCATTACCACCAAGTCACGTCTTTTTCATATAAGACTGAAGCAATGAAGCACTGCGGGGCTCACTACTAGTACTGAAAGACATCAGTCACATAGTAGACCGTGTGAACATTACAGCTACGGTTGGCCTACTTACTGATCTTTCATTAACGCGATACTTGATCAAAGTTTGTCCGGGAATTAAATTACATTGATTCTAGCCTCTTAATACGCACAGTACAAATGGATGTACGTTTCTGGCTCTGCTTGGGTATCTCAACCACTGTTGTGTTTTTAGTCGTCTAGACCTCACCCGTACGAAACCAAAGATCCTACTTGTGGAAATCATCACATCAGTACATAAACGTATAGCTAACTTAAAGCTACTTTTAAGACTTCAGCAGGCACAGAGTGGAAGATGCTTTCTGCTGCACTCCACCGGTGGGGCGGAACAATACAAGCCAGACAGGTACTCTGCTAATCAGCTTCTTAACTGAGCGGGCCACGCGTTAGCGGTTTCTTCTTCTTTTTGAAAATTTCTTTAACATACACTCCAGTTGTGCACGCACAAACTGGAAACATTTAAAACAACTGAATGTTTTGGCGCAAACTAACAGCAAGCAAAGGCTGCAAGTTAGCCAGGGCATGAGTTTCATTCAAAGCGTTAGCTTAACGTTAGCTTCCTCTTGCTAAGGTTAGCTTGACTGGGACATGCAGCTGAGCTGTGGGTACAAAATAAGCCCCACCGCCGGCAAAATAGAACCACTGCAAGCACACTTTACATAAAAGCGATATCTTATACGAATTTAAGAACGAATAATATTTAAGACTGACTGAAAACTGTTTAAAACTTACTTGTCTTTCTCTGTACCGAAAATGGATGCCAGGTACTCCGCCATTTTCGGGTCGTCGGAAACGTCCTCGTTACGTCATTACGTAAAGAGTGGGCGCTTGCGTATGGTTTTCATCCTGTACTTAGCCGTACCGCCGGCTGACAGCGCTGTTGTTTCAGAAATTAGTTCCCTCCTCGGGTGAACAGGGCTGTGAAATTTTTTTTAAATTTTCTCGAATAGCATGAAAATTCCCCTTTGATTAAGTAGTTTTACGTTATTCCCCACCAAAATGAGGACTAGTTTCCAGATATAGAATTGGAAAAAATTAAGCAAATTTATTTCCAGTTGGGACGCAGCATTACAAAGTAGGCTATTAGAATTATATTTTTACTCATAAAACAGCCAGATTATTTTTTTAAGTGGATAGCTACTTTTCCACATGCTGGTGGTCAAAGCTGAGAGATATGGGCAAAAGAACAAAAGCTCAGTGTACTTTTAAGTATAGGTGAAGCTCCCAACCACAGTATATTTCTATTCAAAAGATAAAAAAGCAACCCTGACATCTTCGGGGTGATTTATATCTTCAGAAACCTCCCAGAGGACTCCATTAAAACCCAACTGAAGGTGATTGACTGACAGTCACGGGTTGATGGTCTTACCAAAACAGCAACCACACACACATGTCAACAGAGTGGGCATTAAAGCCTAACAGGCCACAAAGTCCCCATCTCCTCTTCAGAGCAATGTACACCCTCCGCTCAAACCACAGTGCTCTGCACAAGGTCGCACAAGTTTGCAGGAGAGGCAGACGGCAACTTAAAAGGAAAGGAGAGGGGAAAGGAAGTCATCTTAAAGAAGGTAAACCACACACTCTACCCAGAAGTGATGATGAAGGTGCACAGGTTCACAGAGCGAAACAAGACTGAAATGAAAAGTGTGCGCGAGAGAGGGCTCATGTGGGAACCCCCTGTTTTTGAGATATTTCACTGAATTTAACTTGCAAGATTTGCAGAAGCAAGACCACCCACTGGTGTACACACCCCAGCTTCAATCACACAGAGGGTGGGAGAGAGACAGAGATAAGGGGAAAGGAGTGAGCAGAAAGAGGAAGGAGCAAGTTTCATATCAGTGTTTCTCTTTTGGGTTTATCACATAATAATGCGCTTGGAGGAACATTACTGCCTTGGGCTGGCTGTTACTGGACAATGACAGGAGCTTTTCTCAGCATCATGAGGGCTAATCAATGCTGGACCATCCTCCATGTGTCCATCTTGGTTGGGCTGCTCCTCACCTTAAATGCTCAGAGTAAGTTGATGTTTTTGTACAGATCGTGTTGTGCCGTCTCAGTATTTGTGGAATATTTGCTTTCTTCTCTTCTCAGGCAGTCAGGCTGAGAAGTAAAGTGTTTGCGATCGTACTGGAAATGATCTGATAAAAGCTGTTGGCCTGATATTTTTAAAGGTTGTGACCCGGAAAGTGCCACATCCACATATGATGTAACTTTTGAGTGAAAAGTGGCTGCCAGTCGTGCAGCTTTAAAAAAAAGATCAGAGGCAGAATTCAGTTAGATCTCAAAATCTCAAACTCAAACTATCAGTGGTATCAGATATCGAAGGCAGATTCTGCCATAAATGGCACAGCCTGCCTTTAAACATCTGCAGAGCTTTCTGTTTCAGATGCTAAAACTTTTGCTTCTGTTCTCCCAGAGCAGCAGGGTTTCTTACGTGTGGGAGCTTGATGGAAACAATTTGCACAAGAGGAAAAGATCAAAAGTATTAAAAAGAAATTCTCAGAGCTCAATTAATCGCCTACTTTATGTTCCTTGTGCTTTTTTATGTGTGTGATGGTTTGGATCAGGGGAGATACTAGCTCCGTGTAATTACCTGTTTTTAATTTCACATGGGAAACGTAAGATGCACGTGACTTTATTCACAGCCAGTATAGTGACATACGCAAATGAGTGCACTCCTTTAATATAACTAAAATATTAAAAGTGAAGTGTCAGGTATTTAATCTTGTGTGTGCCATCATTAAAAAGAAACACAGTTGAAAATTAGGAAGCAAAAAGTATAACATCAGTGAATCAGACATAATAGAGCTGCTGTAATTTTTAGTTATGAATAAGGTTAAAAAGACTGTGTGGACTGGGAGAGGCTGTGTTTGTGGCTGTGTCAAAAGGAATTGACCACACAAGTAAGAAATGAAACTGTGCAACTTCCTAGAGAGGACACAAGATGTAAAGCAGTGGTTTTAATGGAGTAGGAAGAGCAATGTTGTCCAAAACCAAAGGTCAACAATGGTCTAGACAAACAGAAAGACACACAACAAAAAGACTGGAGTGGGCGAGACATGAAGTGACAAATAAACTGCTCATAAAACACAAAATAGCTTCGCCCAACGCTGATAAAAAGAATGCTGCTGAATGGCTTCAAAATCTTTAGTTAAATGAAATCAAAATATTTCTGTGGCTCAGATTAAATCTGTTGTGTTTTACGTGGATCTGGTCAGGCCCGCTACAGACACCGCACAGTGTGAGGCGTCAGAATGGGCAGATATCAGGCTTCGTAAGAATAAAGGGTGTGGTGTAGATAATTAAATACATTTGTTTACGTGGCAGTATTTCTTACAAAAATACTAAGAGACTCCTGTTCACAAGAATATTGCTCAGAGAGGGATTTTCCCTCATGACAATGATCACAAACATACTGTAGTAAAAACACAAGAGGAGAAACAATGATAACACAGACATGGTCACCTGTCGCGATGATGCAATACTCGTCTGGGCCCAATGAAGCCCCACATCCCTGTAAAATTTCTGTTTCAAAAAATGTTTAAAAAGTATCTTGTGCTTGATCAATGGTCTTAATCACATATTTTAAAAAATTGACAATCTAAAGATCCCCTCACAGTAATGCTGATTAAAACACCTTTTTCTATAGATTACTTGCTATAGTCACTCTGGTCTACTACAAGGTGTCTTTAAATGTGGTCTAAAGGTGATACAGTTGTCAGTGCTAATATTAATAGTAATCATGAAGGTGGGACCTAAATATTTGTCTGCCATAATGCTGGACTCTGCCTAAAAACACGCCTGCTAAAAGATTTTTTTATGGTGAATGTTAAACGACAGAAACACTGTGGGACAGCAGCAGCTAAAAGTAATGTTTTTATAAATTGCAATTACAGGTTTATATGGACTTCACTTAAAGCATAACTATTATTATAAAATTCTTGTCTCGGCAAAAATGTCTAATAATTAATTCGAAAAAATTCACAGGCATTCTTAAACTGCACTGAAGCTTCTGGGTTCAAATTCTCCCTCTTAGCATAATATTCTTTGGTAAAACTTGAAAAGCAAAATCATCTCTTAAAGGTTTTCTACAGGACAGTTATGATAGGTGCTGTCCTGAAAACTCAGAGGTTTAAACTTCCAGTTTTTCTGTCATATGATAAACGGCTCCGGGACACCTGCTGGTGGATCTTGTAGTGAGACCGTGAGCTCAGTATTTAAGAGCAGTGGAATATCTGACAGTAAAAGGTAGACATGAATTTAATACACGTGGCTTTAGGTTTCCCTTTGTGTTAGGACGGGTTCACTCACAGTTTGCTGAACTGCTGGAGTTCATGCAAATTACTTTTCCACTCATTATCAAATAAATGTCACTGAGTGATTTTTCTTTTTAATCTTTTTTTTTCATTCTTACTGTTTGTCATACCTCATGTTTACTTCTTTGATCTTATTGTTGCAATATGATGGATATGTTTATATATTTATTAGTCTTCAATTAAACAGTCTTTATATAAATGTATTGTTTAAACACCTTTGATCAGTCTCTTGTGTAATATATTGTTTTATGTTCTTAATTAAATTAAAATTAACATCAAACGTTTCTTAATTTCTAATTGTTCTTCTTTATGTGTTTGGTATAATTTCTCTTCTGCAGGTGACTCTGACTGTTCTACAGAAATTAGAGTACGTCGCAACACAGTTTATAATGCATCAGCTGGACAACAACTTTGGATTAATTGCACAGTTATTTTTTGCAATGATTCACCACCAACAGTCACCTGGCATAAAGTTCAGGAAGCTATTGTCCCCTTCAATGTCAGCGGTGACAGTCACATTAAAACAGAGTGGAAACCTTTAAACAAGTCAGTATGGATCTTCTATTTGATCTTCCAGAACATTCTCAGACATGACTCTGGTCAGTATCAGTGTCAAGGTGGAGGGAGTATGGGTCATGCCATCACTGTCAATGTCTACGGTGAGTGTGGATTTTTCACTAATTATACTTCTCTAAGAAACCTTCACTCACACTGAACAGTGGACTTTTTCTGAATCTCATGATATTTCTGTGTTGTTCAGACCTCAGACAGCTTCTCTGTTTGTTTTTTTACAGATCATGCTGAAATTACCACTATTACACAGAATAATCTCACAGGTAAGAAAGGTTTTATATAATGTGTGTTGTTGTAGCTTTATTAAATCCAAACTGACTGAAACCTGTTTTTCTTGCAGTCAGCACGACTT